GTTTTATTATGGTTGCAAATATCAAAAAATTTCTATATGTGATACGGCACCAGAGTTAAGTTAGGGTTTTTCAAAATGCTGACATGCCGAGCTCAAAAGGTTCACCATCACTGGCCTAGGGCCTTACAGACAAACTACCTCCTGTTTATAATTCTTCACCAAGGAGAAAGAAATAGAGGAAATAATGATTAACCAGATGGGAGAGTATATAATTAAGTTTGTAGTTGAATTAATGATCTATTTTTCAGTACTGGTAGCCTTTGTCTGCCTCTATTTCCCTTATTAAGAGCAGCACACTTGGTACAGTTACCTGACCTACTTTTGCTCACTTTATGCCAGAGTAATATTCACGCTGCCAGCAATCATGGGCTTTTTAATTCCTTGTCCAAAAGACATTGATATAGACTATATACTATTCAGTGTTGTTTTTCTTCTCCTCCTTCTCCTTCTCCTTCTCCTTCTCCTTCTCCTTCTCCTTCTCCTTCTCCTTCTCCTTCTCCTTCTCCTTCTCCTTCTCCTTCTCCTTCTCCTTCTCCTTCTCCTTCTCCTTCTCCTTCTCCTTCTCCTTCTCCTTCTCCTTCTCCTTCTCCTTCTCCTTCTCCTTCTCCTTCTCCTTCTCCTTCTCCTTCTCCTTCTCCTTCTCCTTCTCCTTCTCCTTCTCCTTCTCCTTCTCCTTCTCCTTCTCCTTCTCCTTCTCCTTCTCCTTCTCCTTCTCCTTCTCCTTCTCCTTCTCCTTCTCCTTCTCCTTCTCCTTCTCCTTCTCCTTCTCCTTCTCCTTCTCCTTCTCCTTCTCCTTCTCCTTCTCCTTCTCCTTCTCCTTCTCCTTCTCCTTCTCCTTCTCCTTCTCCTTCTCCTTCTCCTTCTCCTTCTCCTTCTCCTTCTCCTTCTCCTTCTCCTTCTCCTTCTCCTTCTCCTTCTCCTTCTCCTTCTCCTTCTCCTTCTCCTTCTCCTTCTCCTTCTCCTTCTCCTTCTCCTTCTCCTTCTCCTTCTCCTTCTCCTTCTCCTTCTCCTTCTCCTTCTCCTTCTCCTTCTCCTTCTCCTTCTCCTTCTCCTTCTCCTTCTCCTTCTCCTTCTCCTTCTCCTTCTCCTTCTCCTTCTCCTTCTCCTTCTCCTTCTCCTTCTCCTTCTCCTTCTCCTTCTCCTTCTCCTTCTCCTTCTCCTTCTCCTTCTCCTTCTCCTTCTCCTTCTCCTTCTCCTTCTCCTTCTCCTTCTCCTTCTCCTTCTCCTTCTCCTTCTCCTTCTCCTTCTCCTTCTCCTTCTCCTTCTCCTTCTCCTTCTCCTTCTCCTTCTCCTTCTCCTTCTCCTTCTCCTTCTCCTTCTCCTTCTCCTTCTCCTTCTCCTTCTCCTTCTCCTTCTCCTTCTCCTTCTCCTTCTCCTTCTCCTTCTCCTTCTCCTTCTCCTTCTCCTTCTCCTTCTCCTTCTCCTTCTCCTTCTCCTTCTCCTTCTCCTTCTCCTTCTCCTTCTCCTTCTCCTTCTCCTTCTCCTTCTCCTTCTCCTTCTCCTTCTCCTTCTCCTTCTCCTTCTCCTTCTCCTTCTCTGCCTCCTGCATGCCCCACACTGGGGATCGAGCCCGCAATCCGGGCATATGCCCCGACCAGGAATTGAACCGTGACCTACTGGTTCATAGGTCGATGCTCAACCATTGAATTATGCCAACCAGGCTAGGTGATTTTCTCTAAATTTAATTTTTTATTTCTACATTGTACCCTAAAATTATGGGTGTAGGGCATGAAACATTATAAATAAATGATTCTCTTTTGATCTTCATGAATTCATCATTTCTTTTTGTAAATTAATTAGAATCCCAGTGAGTTGATATATTAATTTAATTCATTTGGGTCCCACTTTTCAGTGTTAGAACGTGGTTATATGGTAATTATCAAAGTCAATTGCCCTTTAATGCCAGCAGTAAATAATAAACAGACAGCCTTTGCTTTAATTTTTTAAAAAGAATTTGCTAAAGACAAGATGTAAAGCCAGTATTATCACACACAAATTCTCCCATATGCAGTAGAATGCTTTCAGTGCTATTTTGAGCACACAGTAGGGTTTCAAGTATTATTTTATTAATAACTTCTTACAGATTTTTTTTAGACTTGTATCTCAGCTTTGGAATTTGCTACTATGCTCATTTTGAATCTTTTCCCTCTAAATTTTAATGCGAAGCAGGTTATAGATGAATGAGGGTGGCAAAAATATACATCACTTTAACTTAGCTTGATTTCTTAATGCGTTACCAGGTAGATAATGAAGACATTTATGAAGCTACACATGAAATAAAGCTGCCAGTGAAGTGGACTGCACCTGAAGCCATTCGTACTAATAGGTTCAGCATTAAGTCCGATGTGTGGTCATTTGGAATCCTTCTTTTTGAAATCATTACTTATGGCCAACCACCTTATAGTGGTGAGTAATTAATTCTGAAGTAGGCCTTTTTGCTGCAGATCACTTACTTAGCTGTGACTTGAACAGCTTCACCCAGACTCAGAGGGCAGAGTGGTGAGGATGTCCACATCACCTGTCTCTGGGAGCATAAGAGGTAAAATCTGATGATGATGATTTGCATTAATGATGTGGTTTATTGCCTCCTCCTCCTTTGCTCTTGAATTGCAGTCTTATAGACATTACTTGCCACAGGAATTAGTTTAACCTCTGCAGCCTGGGAAGGGGATGGTAGACCTCATATCTTCACCGCCAAGGAAATCAATTTGCTTTGTAATCTAGAGAGTGTAAGTGTCCCTTAACTTAATAATCTTATCTTTAACTTGTTTTATTTTTGTTGTTGATTTCATTCTACGTTTTTAGGAATGACAGGTGCTCAGGTAATCCAGAGGTTGCTTCATGACTATAGACTCCCTCAACCATCTAACTGTCCACTGTCATTCTACATGATCATGTTGGAGTGCTGGGATGCAGAGCCTAGGAACCGGCCAACATTTGAGGAACTGTATTTGAAACTTGAGGACTATTTTGAAGAAGACTCCTCATATTCAGATACAAATAGCTTTGTAAGATGAACAGTAAAGAAGAGAATCAAATAATGAAGTAGAAATGAAGTTCAACCATCAGTCCAGAAATACAACCTTATTAACCAGCTGCAAAATGAGTTTATCATGACATACTCAAGTGAAAGGTCAATTTGGCCATGTATTATACAAAAAAAAAATTACTTGCACATTTTATTGACTGGACAACACTACAGGACAGTCTAAGATGGCCTATCATTTTCTCACTGCCTGAAAAAAATCAAACACACTAAACGAAGTTATTTTTCTTTTTAAAAGATACTTACATTTCTATTTATTGTTTGAAATGCCGATCAACAGGATCAACAAATGATAGTCAATTTTTACTCAGTGACTGTTGTAGCATTTTCCTGTTTACTGATTAAAGTGGTTATTCATTATTCGTCAGATTGCTGAATCCCATCAGACTGTTATTATGAAGGAATTTGATTGCTTTGCTGCACAGCAGGACCCGTGCTTTGAGGTTTTTTTCCTCTTTTTAAATATCCTGCAACTACAATGATGGTAAAGCCATGTTAAATGACTTGATTGTACTTGGAGTAATTGCCCATATTTTTTCCTGTGCATAAAAAATGAAGCAGCTGTTGAGAAAAAGAATTAAAATTTCTCTCATTTTGTAGAAGGAAATGATGGAATTTTCTATACCTCAGTATGTGTCATCTGAGAATCATCTACATTAGTTTTAATCTCTTAATGTTAAGAATCAAATTGCAAAGCTGATGAGTTATTATCTGTGGGAATATGCAAGAAACATCTAATAGCCTGAATATCTGAGAAGTAAGTATCAAAATAGTTTAGAAAAACAAGAGGAGAGCCGTAGGATTGCCATGGCCTACAATTTCGGAAGAATTAAAAAAAAAAGTTACCTTTGACCTATAGACCAGAGTTTAAAATTGACTACAAAACAGGTCAAGCTCTGAATAATATCTGACTTTGGTTATGAAACTATATTTTTGTCTGGTAAGACAAGAGGGTTTTCAATCATCTTAAATGTGCATTCACTTTGGTAAGAATATTACTATCTTCTTAAGCAATGGGTGTATTAAATTTTGTTCCCCATTAGGTGGTTTGGGACAGTTCTAAAAGGTAGTTGCAAAATCAAATGCATATTCAAAGATTTTCTAATGTAAAGATTAATATGAACAAAACAAGCCGGGAGAAAACAGAAGTGTATTCTGTCACTTTTTTTTTAAAGGGGAAGAAGAACACATCAAATAGTTACAGAAACCCCAATTCAAAGTGGATTAAACAATCAGTAAACTTGTAAATTTTCTAACTGGAACACAGGAGGTAGGGACGACTCTCAGCAGAATGCCATTAGCTGCAGTTCAATGATCTTAACTAAAACCCAAGTCCTTTCCCACTCTTCCCTCTGCCACCAGCATTGTCCGAATTCTCACAGTCACGGGTTGCTGCCAGTAGCAGCTAAAGCTCCCTGTTCTCTTCTCATTTGGTAAGAAAGTGGGAAACTGCTATCTCTGCATTTTCATCTTACATAAGAAGCATTCCTTTTCTGTCCAGACAAATTGGGGTCATATGTCCAGCCCTGGACCAATAATAGGCTTAATGTGAATGTTAAGTGCCAGTTAGTTGGAAATGTGGTCATCTTTTCTGGAGTCAAGTTGGGAGGTTAGCTTATCTGAATAAAATTAGAAAATATTAGATGCTGGATATTATTAATTAAAGAGAAAATTCCCTGAGAACTTTATATAGAAACTCAAATTTTTCTTAAACTAAAGTGGGTCATGTGGAGTTAACTATTATAGATCCCCTTGATGCTTTTATGAAGAGAAATTATTTGTAAAATAAGGTAACCACTGATATTTTTAATCAGTTGACTATGTATAGGACAAGTTCAATTATTTAAAGTCATCCTGTCTAATTGTGAACAATGAAATACTATATAACTTATCTTTTTGTAGCAGCTAATAATAAGAATACATTTTTTAGTAAGATCTGATTTTTTAAATATATAAAGATGATCCTTTCTTGTTTCAATACCACCTGAAACCCATTTAACTTTCTACATTTGATTCTTGGAGATGTTTATGTTCACGGTTCTGTCCAAGCAATGTATTATTCCTGTTTTTACCTGATTGATCGTGGAGAAAAATAATGGATTCAGTTATGAGAAGCAGTAATAGATTTTTTTAAAAACTGACATAAATTTCTTTTTCTGTATAGAATAAAAGGATCAGGAAAAGATAAGTTGAATTTTCCTACAATGAAGCCAGCTCTTGTTAAATTTACCACCCATAAATTGTAGCAAAGCACTTTCTATGTAATGTTTTATTTATGTGATTCAGTTACTTGGAGGTGGTGGTGAGGGATGTGAGTACATAATTTCAATATGGTATTTCAAATATCTTTTGACAAAAACCTAAGAATTCTTGTAATAGGAAAAATTTCAGATTCCGTTAAACCTCTTTTAAGAAGGTTAGGAAGGAAATAGGTTTACCTTACATAAGGTCAAACGAGGCGCAGGCACAGAGTGGACTCCTAATAGTTGTGGGACCTGAATATTGTGTCATTGAAAAACAAGGGTAAAGTCAAAGTGACCAGCAATCTCCAAACTGGGTTGGAGAATGGGTGTTATAACAATGTTATGGTCATAAGGAAACCCCTCTAATGTGTGGAAATAATTATTGTGTGAAATGATTAATGTGTGAAATGTTTGCTGGGTGAAGACCCCAATACTCTGTAACTTCCAAAATGTGGTGAATGCTCCACTATCTTGATATGAATGCCCTAAGCCCTTAAAACATAAACACCCTGCTCCTAGCACAAGGCACACCGTCTGGCCCACACTGATAAGACACAAGTTGTTTACCACCGTCTGTATAAGCAACAGATTTTCTTCAGTGGACATCTCCTGCCTGATGAGAGGAGGACTCCATGTCACTCCGTGAGACAAGCCCCTGATTGACTGCTCTGTTGTGCGAGCCTGAACCAACTGTGGCCACCTGTCTGTCTCCATCTTTGTCGTCGTCTTTTGGTGTGCATCGCCGGGTGGCCTTTGCTGGAGCCTAGGACCCACTAGGAATAGGTAAATAAACCCTGAGTGATTGCACACTAATTCTGTCTTGTGTGTTCTTGTGTTCCAGTTTGGCTCAGCTGTCTAGACATTGAAGTACCAGGGGATAGGCCGTTATTGCTGACTCCTGGTCACCTGTGTTTGTCCCACTAAGTCTAGACAGATAATTAATTAATTGGGGCATAATTGGGACAATGGGACTGCTTGAAGGACACCAAAGAACACATCATGAAGGAAATATCAGGCTTGGTCCATTCATAACATCTACCTATAACATGTGTCTGCATGGTGATCACATGGTCTGTCTGAGCCTTAAGTGACCCATACTCTTTTGATTCTCTGATGACCCAAAGGGAACCATTGCCATTGGAAAGATGCCATTCTGTCACCCAGCTGGAGCTTCCTGGAAGAAGCAGGGTCCAGATGGTGATCCATGGCTTTGCCAAGCATATGCTCTACCTGTAGTAATGTTTTCTATGGTCTAGTTGAACATATGGTTTCTAGACCTGACAGCCTGGTGGGTAATGTGCCTGTAGTAACTTTTCAGGATTTTTTGAAAAGATATATTATGTGAACCAGAGTGGTGGTAATTTAGACATTTACTTAAATTGTGTCACTGTATTCATCCATTGAGGAAAGCTACTCTTAAAAAGAGTAGATGAGGTTTGTATACATGAGTATTGGAATTGCCTGTGGGCTCGTCTGGAAATGTTTAGTTTTTATATTTCCCAGCATCATTACAGAGAAGTTTTGGTCTAAAATCTTCAACATGATTAAAATTAAAAAAAATAAAATCTTCAACATGATTAAAAAGTTCAGTGTCATAGGAAAATAAAGAAAGCTTGGAAGTTTGGTGGAGAATACTTACACATCTTTTAAATCCATGACCCCAACAATATTTTAATTTTCATAGCCATTCTTTCACTGCCTATATTGCCCCATTATATTCCTTTAGAGTTTTCCTTTTTTATATTAAGGGTGTGATAGCAAATCTTTTAAATTATTTAATACATTAAGAAATATTAAGAAATAAACTGGAGAATAAAAAAGGTATGCAAACTCTGAATTTCAAAATCTTTAACCAGCTTAGCTTCAATCTGTACTCAGATGGTACTATTCACATAGGAGTTCTAAGATTAAGTCATAAGGAATGAGACATCCAATTATTTCCATTTACTCTTCTTGCCTGGGTTTATCCATTGGTCATCTAAAGAAACAGACTTCATGTAATGTCTTTTTTATCCTCATGGAAAATAATCCGCTCTTTCAGAAAAGGGTAGCAAACATCAAACATGCCTTAAGTATCTCATATGTGTATTGTTGTGCAGGGGTCTCAAGTCATATACCATAATAACCACAAAATCATAGGGAAAAATGGTTAAAAGCAACTAAAATTGATCGGTTTGGAAGAAGTTAAACATTTTCTAGTAATAACTTCCTGAAATTTAAAAATGGAGGCTTTGATTGCACTATTTGTGAAACATAAAGTAGCTTATTAACCAAATTATGTTTAAAGTATATGGCCCACATGTTTTTCAGAATAAAATATATTATAGCTTTTTTAAAAACTATTTTTAAATCTTTTTAAAATATACATTTAATTATAAATTCAAACAGTGAGAAACAAAGCCAATTAGCTAGATTAGTATACTTTGAAGTTACACAGTGAGATTTTTGTCTCTAAAATATGTATTTCTATATTGCACCCTTTAATAATACTTATTGTATTACTGTATGCAATAATTGTATAATTACATGTGAAAATATATTACATATGATTAATTATATGTAGCAAAAAAGGATTTAAAAAAACCCTCTTTTAATTGTGCCACTTGTTATAATGCTATTACTTACCATGGCTCAAATGCAACTATAATTTTCAAAATGTTTTCTATTTCTGGGTTCTTTACAATACTCAGAAAAGGACTTTTCCTGAAAATATATTTTACCCTAAGAGTTCTATCTTTATTCACATGGAATTTGTTCATCATGCTAGTTATCTCAGACTACCCTCCGATTCCCCAAACCATCTAGAAGTCCTCCCATTTTATCTCCTCACATCTCAGAATAGGGCTCTACCAACATCTAATGCATCCCATTGGCTCTGTTCTTCCTCTGTCTTGGAATGGGTAGTCTTCCAGGCTGGTATGTTGGGTGGGATGAACTGCATGGCTGATGACTGTATATTAAAGCTTTGGATTTTAAAACTCAAGAGACAAGAATTTGACTGTTGTTTATCTATTTTGTACTGTAATAATCACCCCTTTAGATGCCTCATGGTCTGGTAGCCTGATGTGGGGGAACCAAAGCATAACAAAATATCTGGGGAAAATCAATGAATATCTGAAAATATCCAATCACACATGGAAATTAAACAAAAATTACACAAATAATTACTTAACTATGTTTGTGTTGAGTGTTACTAGTGTAAAGAAGAAATATGGGATGCTATGGGAGTGCTATAATGAGTACCCATAACCAGGTCCAGGGAGTTGAGAGAAATGCAGAAAGTAATGTTTAACTGTGGTCTGAAGGAAGAGAAAGTGTTCACTAGCTCCTGGGAGATGATAGGCACAGCAAAGACAAAGACTCTGCATTGACAACGAGCATGGCACCACTGAAGAACTGAAAGAAAATCAGTTTTCCTGCTGTGTATGGAGCGAGGAGGAAAGGTACAAGTTAGGGTGGGCTGGGCAAGCCCTGTCTCAATCATGGGGATTGTGTAGTAATATTCTAAATCCTAATGGGCAGATATAGAAAGCTTTTAAACTGGTAGCATGACCTGATTTGAATTTTTGAAATATTATTTTCACTAATATATGGAGAATGGATATGAGGAGACAATTTACTAGAAGGACCAATTGTCAGGGGGAGAGATGATGGTCAGGTGAATGGAGGGCAGAAGACAGAGAAAACAATAAACACGTGTGAGACTTTTGGAGGTGGAATGAGCAGCACCTGATCACTATTTGGCTCTGTGGGTATGGAATAGTTAGGTATCAAGGATGACTTCACATGTCCTCTAGGAGCAACAAAATATGGAACGACAAGGAAGAAGCAGGTAAGGGGGATGGCGATCCTAGGAGCTAGTTAGCGGGTTAATTATGAAACATCCAACTTGAGATGTTAATTAAGGGGTTGTATATTTGTACCTGGAGCTCGGAAAAAAAGTGTGAAGCCAACCGTAAGGTAAGGAAGAGTTTGCGTAAGAAAACCACGTGAGGGAAGGAGACCACTGAGGGAGAGAGTGGAGAATGAGAAACATTTGCCTCTGAAGAGATGAGGCATTAAAAGTTAGGTGGAGAAGACGAAGCCAGAGAAGGGGTGGGAAGTCAGGAGAGCAAAAGTTTTCCACTAGCTTTTGGCAACATGGTAGCCCTTTGGATGTGCACTTTCACTGGAGAAGTGGGATCGACAGAGAAACTGAGGTGGACTGAGGCACAAGCCAAAGGTGAGTGGGTGCAGCATCTATGGCCCTGGTGGCTTTTCCCATATGTGGTTGTGAATATAAGAGAAGACAGGCAGAAACTAATAGTGACTGTGGGATTCAGAGCGGAGTGTGTGTGTTCCTAAAACTCAGAGAGACTAGATCTTGTTTGAAAGCTGTCAGTATGGTTGTTGGAAGTTATTTCAGCAAGAGCAGAGAACATAGGGTAGGAACATTTTGCGACTCGCATACTGAAAGAATAACTGCTGTTCTGCTTATTGAATGTGTATGGATTTTAAAATATGGATATTTAGTTGTTAAACAAAATATCATTGTTTTAGGGGGATTAAAGCCAGGAATGTAGCAAAAACTTATTTTGGACTAATACACCTCTTATTGCAGGACCATTTATTTTGTTTATGGTTTACTTTCTTACCTGTTTTCCCAAGGTTGATCTTGTTTGCTACTATTCTGTGTGTAGATTGGTAGCTTTTCTTTAGAAATGTGTTGCCTGGCAGGTGTGGCTCAGTTGATTGAGCAGCGTCCCAGGCATTGATCTCCAGGGGCTTGCAGGAGGCAGCCAGTCAATGTTTCTCTCTCTCCCTTTTTCTGTTTCTAAAATCAATAAAAACATACTTTCTTAAAAAATGAAGTCTTATCTGGATTATAGAAACAGGAATAAAAAGGAAAAATTCAAGTAATTCTGAATAAAATATCAATTAATTTTCCTTGAATATGGGTGTCAGGTCTAATTGTTTAAAATGAAATAATATGGCTCATTGCAGATGAATGATGAAACCCATTTAAGAGCATGCTAGAATAGTGCCAAGGAGGTGGTAAGAAGCTGAAGTTTTAATATTTCAGGAGGAATACATTTGAACCACCACGAAGAATATAATTATAAGAAAAAATAAGAGGGGAAAAAGGAAAATAAATCAAAAAAAGCAAGTCTATTTTAAGAAAATGTATCTTCAAAGTCTTAGGAGAAATGTTTTTAGGAGATAAAGAAATCTGGTTAATCAATTTATGCATAATGCAGAAACATTCTTATTTGACTTTAAAATATCCTTAGTTCAACCCTTAAGTTGTAAGACCTGAGTCAGACGGAAGTGATTTTGCAATAAAATCTTTCTTGGGCATTATCTTCATCAATCTATTTTCACAGAAGGACAGACTGTTAGAGCTGGTAGGAACCTTGGAGATTATATAGTCAGTCTCTCAGGAATTCCTCCCCTTCTTTTGGAGCAAAACTCAGAAGCCAAAATAATAAAAAGCAAGAGATATTTAGTCATTTGAGAGATTTTCTTTTCAAATAAAACTGCTTGTTAGACTCTTTAAATCCTTGCAGAATTGTTTGCAAATCTTCAAGAAAAGGCTTGGCATAAATAAGATTGCCTCAAGCTAATTGTCTTTTCCTTGTATTTTAGAGAAACTTATGGCACTTAATTTAGAGGATGGCAAAGAGAAAATTCAAGACTTGATTTTGTGGCTGAACATTAAAAATATTTTAAAGCATGCAAGATGTGCAATGCTGTGCAAATAGGAATGCCTGTAATGAAGACATTGATTATAGATTACAATACAA